GAATTCCGTCTCTGTGAACCTCTTTCTCAATTCCTATACATGATGAAGATACGGGAGTATATTAGAGTTTTTGGTTGCCCGTTCTTCTCATACCTGATGTATAAGTAAGTCTGAATCTCCAATTACTAGCAGCTTTTGGATGTTCATGTCAATGGCCATTTTGAGTCCTAAGATGCAGGCTTCATACTTGACCATATTGTTGGTTCACGGGAACCTGAGTTTGGCAAACACCGGATAATGCTGACCGGTTTCTGATACTAGGACTGCTCCTATGCCAACTCCTTTGAAATTTGCTGCTCCATCGAAAAACATTCTCCAACCGTCATAGGATTCTACGATGTCTTCTCCTATGAGTGATACCTCTTCATCAGGAAAATACGTTTTCAGGGGTTCGTATTCTCCATCCACGGGATTCTCAGTGAGGTGGTCTGCCAGTGCTTGTCCCTTGACCACTTTCTGAGTTACATAGACAATGTCAAACTCACTCAACAGGATTTGCCACTTGGCCAGCTTGCCGGTGGGCATGGGCTTCTGAAAGATGNTCAAAGGATCCATCCTTGATATGAGATATATAGTATAGGCACATAAGTAATGCCTCAGCTTCTGAGCTACCCAAGTCAAAGCACAGTAGGTGTGTTCCAATAAAGAATATCGGGCCTCGTACGGGGTGAACTTCTTGCTGAGATAATAAATGGCCTGCTCCTTTCTCCCCGTTTCATCATGTTGCCCTAGAACACAGCCGAAAGCTCCATCCAATACTGCAACGTATAGTAATAAGGGTCTATCTAGCTCGGGCGGGACTAAGACTGGTGGTGTTGACAGGTACTCCTTGATTTTGTCGAAGGCCTTTTGGCAGTCATCAGACCATTTGGTAGCGGCGTCCTTCTTCAACATCTTAACACAAATAATCGTAGACTGTGCTATGAATCGGCTGATGTAATTGAGCCTTCCCAAGAAGCTCATCACATCTTTCTTGTTCTTTGGCGGTGGCAATTCTTGAATAGCTTTGACTTTTGATGGATCCAGTTCTATTCCTAGGCGACTCACAATAAACCCAAGCAATTTTCCAGTAGGAACTCCAAATGCGCACTTCGCAGGATTCAGTTTCAGGTTGTACCTTCGCAATCTATTGAAGAACTTCCTCAAATCTTCTATGTGATCAGTGGCCTTCTTGGACTTGATGATGACATCATCTACATATACCTTAATCTCCTTATGTATCATATCATGAAAAATGGTAGTCATGGCCCTTATGTAGGTGGCCCATGCATTCTTCAGGATGAACGTCATCATCTTGTAAAAGTACATTCCCCACGGCGTAATGAAAGCCGCTTTCTCAGCATCTTCCTCATCCATCCAGATCTGATAATAACCAGCGAAGAAATCTACAAATGACTGCAGCTCATGCTTAGCGCAATTGTAAATCAGGATGAGTATATTCGGAAAAGGGAAGTCATCTTTCGGACTGGCCCGGTTGAGATCTCAGTAGTCAACACAGACTCTAACCTTCCCATCCTTCTTTGGCACTGACACAATGTTGGCTAACCATGTCGGGTATTCTACTAGCCTGAGAACCTTAGCTTTGACCCGCTTGGTGACTTCTTCCCTGATTTTCAGACTCATAACGGGTTTGAACTTTCTGAGCTTCTATTTTACCGGTGGGCACGTTGGGTCGGTTGGCAATTTATGAGCCACAATAGATGTACTCAGCCCAGTCATGTCATCATACGATCAGGCGAATATGTCCTCGTATTCCATTAGAAATTCAGTGTATTCTTCCTTTTCTGATGGCGATAGGTGAACGCTGATTCGTGTTTCCTTGATGTTTTCTGCATCTCCCAGGTTAACAATTTCGGTCTCGTCCAGGTTGGACTTAGGTCTCTTCTCAAAGTTCTCAACTTCTTTGACTATCTCATCTGGTATTTCATCTTCCTCTGAATCAATGTCAGTTTGTTGCGTTGTCTCATTACATGTCACAGTCATTGGTTCATCAAGATAATTAATAGTAATGCTATATTGGTGAAGAAAATGATAGCGATAAATATTAATTCATAAGAAAAATTGAAAATGCTTTTGATAAATGGAATAACTATTTTGAACATTGAAGATCTTATTGGGGGAATTAAAAATGCCAAAAGAAAATCATTTAGTAAATAAAATAGTGAATAATTCTTATTTTAGCCTTGCTACCGCGAAGCTCGTCGGGCTTTGGTTGTCTTGATGGTCCAATTACTGAGGCATGCCCCTCTACTCATAGCCTGTATGGAAGGGCCTTCCTCCCCCTCCTCCTCGAGAATAACGCAACAGTCTATATCAATGTCCTCTAGAAACAAGTTCTTCACTGCTGCAAGTGCTTCTTCTTCATCTGACCCATAAATAATGTCGGCTTGTTGGAAGGTATGCTCCAGATGCGGTATTGGCTGCTCTAGTGGGTAGTAAGGACCACGCCATGGGGGCGACCAATTGTTGAATTCTTCCTAGGTGTAATTATATTCCAAACCAAAAGTAGTACCATGTTTCTTAAGTTTTATGAGCTTAGTGATTCCTTGGAAGTTCTTGACGAGCCCTTTGCCAGGTTCGTACCCATTCTAATTTAGTATACTCTCAATTTTGTTATCCCACCATTTGTCCTTATCAACTGCATTTACCCGTTCAATGTGGTGGTAAGTCTCTCTACCCAGCTTCCATCTTCCTTCGAATGCCGGAATGGTCTGGCGACTGTATATAGGGTTGCTACCATCGCCGTGAATGATCACCTCCTGGTGATTCCATTCAAATTTTACTGCCTGATGCAGCGTTGATGCTACGGCCCCAGCAGCATGAATCCATTGTTGTCCCAATAGTAGGTTGTAAGATGTTGGTACGTCTATCACTTGAAAATCCATGTCGAACCACGTTGGTCCCATCTGCAAGCATAGGGCAATCTCCCCAATGGTGGACCTCTGATAACCATCGAAGGCTTTCACATTGATAGCTCCATCTTTTATCTCGTGTAGTCCTTTACCCAACTTCTTAACTGTTACCAGCGGACAAATGTTGAGACTGGAACCTCTGTCGATCAGGATTCTGGTGATGAAATAGTCCTCACATTGCACGGTGATATGCAGTGCTTTGTTATGCCCCAGCCCTTCAAGTGGCAGCTCGTCCTCATGAAAGGTGATCTTATGGCTCTCTAGCACTTGTCCTACCATGTTAGCCATTTCCCCGCCAGTGATATTACTTGGTACGTATGCTTCACTCAGCACTTTTAACAGAGCATTTTTGTGTGCCTCGGAGTTTTGCAGCAGGGAGAGGATGGAGATTTGTGCTGGCGTATTGTTTAACTGGTCCATGACAGAATACTCCTTGGCCTGTATTTTCCTCCAAAGGTCGTATAGACCTGTCTCAATGATGGGTGGCCTGTTGGAGGCCTGCTTTCTTGACTCAGCTAGATGTTCAGGGGTATAGACTCTATCAGTTCTTGTCATACCCTGTGCTGCAACAGTTTCTTTGAACCCGACCTTGTCTTTCCTTCTTGCTTCGGCCGTATAGTCCCAGGGTACATCCTTTGTATGGAATGGTGTCATGGTCGACATTGCCACTGGGATCGGTGTGGATATCCTCACCCCGAATGGAGCATGTGCCTTGGGTGGCAAAACTTCAACCTCAAATGGTGCGGGTGCATTTGCCGAAGACATGAATTCAACCTCAATCGATGCTGGTGTCTTTGCGGATGATGTTGCTTCAAACTCAAGTAGCATAGACATATTCACCTCAGCGCCCTCAGATGGTTGAATCTGGACTATGATTGGATTGAGAGTAATTATTTGCTTTTTTGGGTCATCACCTTCTGTGATCAACCCGATTGATCCCTCGGGATCCCAGTCATCTTCTATTTCAATCATGTGGATACCCCCACCCTTGTGGTCTGGTAGAGGGTTGTTGCGGACATTTGGAGTGGGTTTGTTTGCCACAATAATCTTGTTAGCAATCAAGGACTGTATCTTGTCCTTCAAGGAGCGACACTCATCGATGGTGTGCCCTTTCATGCCGGAGTGGTATACATAGGATTTGTTTGGGTTAACCCATTGAGAGGGGTTCTTAGGGGTCATAGCAGGGATGGGGGTGACATAACCAACAGCTTTGAGTCTCTCATACAACTGGTCAATAGGTTCGACAATGGCTGTATATTGTTTTGGAGGTCTGCGATCAGAATTAGGTCGAGGTCTAGGGAAGTTTTGGCGTGCAGAAGGTGATTAATAGTGGGATGTTTGAGCATTATAGGTTTGGTAGACATGCGCAGGTTGTGAGTATCTGGGTGAGGTAGGTTGATATGTAGGAGGTGGAGGTCACTGGTAAGCTGGTGGTGGAGCTTGGTATGAGGATGAAGGTGCTTGGTAATTTGGAGTTGGCTGATATATGAGTGGAGGTGTTGGGTAAGTTTTGTATTTGAGGGGAGACTTGGTCCTTTGTGCAACCATCACGGCCCTTACGTCCCTTTTCTTGGACATACCACCGGATTGTAAGGCCTTATTTGTAGCTTGCAAGGCCTCAAAGTTCGTAACCATACTACTCTTGATACCTTCTTCAATTCTCTCACCCAGTTTGATAATGTCGGAGAATTTGTGGTTCTCAATCATCATCAACTGTTCATAATACTGCGGGTCCTGAGCCTAGTCAAAGAACTTGTTACTACAACAAAATTGGCCTAAGGTAATACTTATTATAGACCACGTTTTAAGAGTGTTGCCAAAAATAGCAATAGGAACGCTTTTGTATGGGTGGCCTTTTTTAAGAGCTTTTGGCAACGGAATTTAGGCAGCACTCATAAAGCATGCTCTTTATGTACAAAAATTACATCTTGTAAGCGTTTCCTAATATTAAAATTTTTGAGAACGCTTATTCAGATATTAAGCAACAATTTACAAGCGTTATTCTTGGTAGGCTAAAAGCAACTCAGTACAAACGTGGTCTAAAGTAAAAATATTTCGCACAAAAAAATTTACATTTATACTATTCCGTCTAAAAGTTTCCACACTATTTAAACTATTCCTCCTTCTCTAGGGTTTGAAACCCACAAAACTTCTTCTTCACTCGAATTTTCAAAAAATAGGATAGTCGATTGCACACCATCTTCGTCAAGAAAAGGAAAAGCAAAAAAATTGCACCCAATTGGCGATGCACTTCAGAAGCAGGAACGCTAATTTGCTTCACTTGATTTCTCCTAAGGTGTGAGTTACGCCATTCTATTTCTCAAGGCAACAAAAAAGATTTGGCATTCGAGTTTTATCGATTTATTTTGAGACCAATATAGGATTTTTTAAAATTAGTACTCGATTATACATATACATGTATACTTTACTTTTATTCAGTATTTGAATTTAACCGAAAAAATTCTAGTATTTAGATTTGCTTCTGGATATAGAGTAAATAGACGTTTCAGGGAATTTCTGATACTGTTACTTTGTTATGGATTGGGGAAAACTTGGTTAAACGAGTTGTAGATCTTTTAATGTATTTGTGTATGGATAGATTTTTTGTAGGTTTAGCATGAAAGGCTTGAAATCGTTATATTAGAATTTTGTTATACTAGATTCATCATCTAAAATGGTCCACCTACATTTATATACTTTTATTGGATGCCAAGGGTATTTGAATTGTCCAGTTAAACGATAAAATGATACGGAACTCATGAATTTAGCTACACCACAGTTATTTGATGGAACTCAACTTGATTGAGTTGAATAAAACTAAAAGCTCCTATTTTTTTTATAGAAGAACTAGAATAGTTTTAAATTGTAGGTAAAATGGACATATACTATTACGATATTTGAATGAACAGGAAGTGAAGGCAGTTTCATGGTCCTTCTTTACATGACTTAGTTACTTATTTCTAAATTATCTATATGTCTTGCTTACACTACCCTTGAAGGCCTTTTATGGAACTTGAGCTTCTGTCTGATTTGCTTAGAAGCTCTAAATATTATTGAGTTTGTCATTCCATGTTTTTATGCTATTCTATCATTTCCTGTTCATAGCCATGTATTAGTGTGTAGATTGATGCCTTATTTTCTTTAAATTTTGTGTTTAACTTTTTACAATATTCAATAAGCAAAGAAACTACATACTAGTTTCTATTATAGCATATGACTTGCTTTCATGTCTCATTAAAGCTTAGTAACAGATTGAAGGAGTTACTCCCCTCCCTTCCCAAAAAAAATGAAAACTCTCTTTGGTGGAATTGTGCGATTTGCCTCTCTTTATGTAAAAATTATTCTATATGTGTCTTAAGTGAATTAGTTCTTAATGTGGTGAAAATACCTACCTATTATAGTACTCTATTTTAGCCAGTATTTGATTTTAAAAAATCATCAGGTTTTCACCTAAATGATAATCGTATTTTTCATAAATATGCTCTATATACAGGGATATAACCATGTTTGTCAAAGATAATGTTTTGTTGCACAGGGATATTGTCCAGGTTTCTCTGGTGCTGCTATTCCTTGTATTTGATAAGACATCTACTAACAAACCAACTGACCTCACTGGTTCGATACAATAGTAAACTTAAGAACTCATTAATGCCTAACTGTTATTTTTTATTTTTGTAGTATTGAGCTTAGGGAAGCCAATACTAGTACCAGACATGGTAAGTAGCATCTGACACTAATTTTACTTTGCTGGATAATAAAAGATAATATTGTTTTGACACTTCTCATTAAACGTCTAATTATTGACATTTTTTTTGGATTTGCAGGCAAAGTCAATTTATCAGTTCATCGCACCTCAGGGCAACAGAAGTATAATTAACTATATTTGGTGAAACTTATGGAAATTCCACAATTATAGCACTGACATAGGTAGGCTATCTAACATTTGTACCATGTTAAGTATCAAGATTATCTTGTGTCTGTCTCCACTTCTATTGAAACTTCTACAAGAATGGATGATCCAAGAATTTCTTGTCTTCTATCAAATTTTGCAGTGGTTTACCAACAAGAAAATACGATTCAACGTACAAGTCTCCTATCTGCAAAGTAGTACTGATTGAAATCTAAAGCCAGGATTGTGCTAATATAATTATTTATTAGTGTTGTAGTTGAAAAATTATCAGAGAGAATGAGAAGTGATATGTGCTAAATGTCCTCGTTTCTCTAATTCTCGATAAATAAAAAAATGCATCTAATAATTTTTCTTACTAAATTATTTCTTTTATAGGTTTGTTGTGCCAATGAAGAACGGTGACCTCGATAGTAAAGGGGTTTTCGCTAGTATTATTCAAGCTGAAGTAACAATAGAAGCATTCAAGGTACTTATAATTTTTAATTTCACATATGTCATTTAGATGTGTGCTAACTGCCTTATCCTTCTACTAATGATGCAAGTAACGCACAGGTTGTGAGACCAAAATCTTTCACATTCCTCTAGATCAAACTTATAGTCCAATTCTAACTTTTTATTTGTTTATTTTTTATACCTGCTAAATGAATATGTTAGTAGAATTGGGACTTATCTTTTATGCATTAGTATCACCATTTTTATCTCCTTTTAATAAATACAAAGGGTTTCTACTTAATTGGTGTTGTTGCTAGGACATAGAGCTAGAAATGGTGGTATTTTTTATCGGGAAGAGGAGCAGTAATGTCCTAAGCATAGACAAATCAACATAAAATGATGCTTGCTCTTCTCCCTTAACTTGCTTTTATGTTCCCTCAGTAGGGTGACTAGAATTGCCTAAAGAATGCAAGTCATTACAATTTTTTTCTTTGGTGACCACCTAATGTATCTTTTTCTTAAACTTGTTCACTTTGTGATCAAAGGGTTCTGTTTTTGAGTCACCATAAAAAATAGAAACATAGCCTTGCTTCTAATATGATTTTATGTATTTCGTCTTATTGCACTTTTATGATCTCATGTTACCACCAATGCAATATTTTGGCAAGCGCTCCTGGGTGTATCTTGCAGTTAAATATTGTGCATCTGTAGTTTTATAGGCCTTTATAGCATTGAATATCTGTTTTGATCATGATTTGCATTACTGTTCATTCTGTATGAAAAATACGTGTAAAATATTCTCACTTGAGTTTACACTCTCTATTGGTGTCTATTATTTAATATTTAATTTCATTTTTGTAGTGTAGGAAAATTCTTATGATGCAATGGGGTAAGGTATGCATACACACTATCCTCCCAAAATCCCGTTACGGGATCAAACTGAGTTTTTTGTTGTTGTTGTTGTAATTGAAAATGGTGGCCAAAAGTCAATTTGGCCATTTGAAGTTAATGAGGAAGACTTTTGGACAACTAGGATATGTATCATACATGATACTATATGAATACATTCGATTTTATAAAGTTCAATTTTGTAAAATTCACATTTAGTACGCATCTTGAAATTATTTTCGTTATTAGTTGAAGTACATGAAATATAATCCTTTTGCGAAGTTCATCACATTGTGTTTGATTATTTATTTATTAATGAAGTTCTTGATATCCTTATACTTAATTAATGACCTCAAATATATGATAATATTATGTTTATTTAATAACAAATATAATTTTTTAAAGCATAGTAACAACATCAACAAATATAATTTTTTAAAGCATAGTAACAACATCAACACTTCAAAAGTGTAGTTTTAGGAGCTACCCTTAAAAGGTGTGGCCTATAAGGTATTAAAGGTCACACTTTAGAAGTGTAGCTTTAAGACATGAAAAATATGGCCATAAGTAGGCGTAGCCTTTGCCTCATGAAAAGCGTTACCTTAGGGCAAAGGTTACGCTTGTTTAGGCCACTCCTTGAAAATCGTTGCCTTAGGTCGAAAAGTGTAGCCTTTGATAAAACACCACACTTTCTGATAGTTTAGGCAACACTTTTCATGTGTGGTCAAAGGCCTAATTTGTTGTAGTTTGTTCATATGTTCTTCTTCTAAGGCAAGTCTGATCTTAGTAGCTTCGGACCTCCAGCGAGTAGCATACTCGCGAAACGTCTCTGTGGGCTTCTTCTTTAGATTCTGAATATAGAATATGTCTGGCGCATTCTTTGTATTAAACCTGAACCTGTCCATAAAGTCGACGCCATGCTTACCCAGTTTGACCACTTCTTTGGATCTTGGATGATGTACCAAGACAACGCATCTTCTTTCAAACTCCTCATGAACAGCTTTATGTGGATTCTCTCATCTTTTCCTACTCCAACCAATTTCTTAAGTTCCTCAGCTAGGTTTCTGATAAGCAGATCTTTTTCGTCACACTCGGGTGTGCTTGAGATAGGTTGGGTGGAGTGTGGCATGGTCTCCACGTAGATAGGGGTGTTATAGTGGGTGTGAAAGTGGTCATTTGTGGAGTTTTGAGGTTTTGGGATGAGTAGTGGAGTGTTGTTAGGGGTATGACAGGTGTTGCATTGGGTCTTTGGTGGAATAGTGTGATGGTGAGGAACGGGATGATTCTGTTTCTTTGGGATATTTTGAGGAGGTGTAGGGTTTTGAGTGTGGGGAAAGTTGATATTTGGGGTGCTGAGGGAAAATGATAGGCTTGCTAGATTCCGAACCTGATCGAGCTCTTCTTGGAATTTCAGCAACTTCTGTTCTAGTTGTGACACATTCTCCTTAGGAACTTGAGTACCATGGCCATTAGTGGCCTCTACCCGTTCAGTTGGATTCTCCTTCCTGGTGTTGTTCGGATCTTCCATCTTGCTTTTGTTCTTGTTTCTGACAGGACTAAGAGGAGGAGTGGGTGGAGGACCCCTGGATCTCGTGGAATAAGATGATGATGCCAGAGTGTACGAACTAACCTTTGGGGAGGGGAGTAATAAAAAACAGAAATAACAACAAAAGGTAATCGAGTCAATGAGGATTATAAAAAGTATTGCAATATTTAAACACATAGTGCGGGAATGTAAAGCGTGTTCTAATTTGGGAACCTCTTTGTGCCCGAGGTAGGCCTAGCGACAAGTTGATTTGGAGAACTTAGAATGCTAAATGCTTCATTTTATTGATAAAGAAATAAGACGAATCCCAAATCGACACTAAATAAACAGGAAATAAAAGTCACTAATGGCCATTGGCCTTATTACATTCATAAAGCAAAAAAGTAAATCCCTATCTACTTGGTCCCAGAAGGACCTTTAAACAAGTAATTGCACATAGAGAGGTACAAATTCATAAGAACAATCTGAAATGGTAAAAACTTAAATATCCCCAGCAGAGTCGCCATGCTGTCGCGCCCCCATTTTCCCTCTTTTCCGCTAGGAGAGGAATTTCCAGGTTTCGACATTCATGGAGTGTAATGACTCATTTTCCTTTTTGGGGAATTCGGTAGTTTTAAAAGTCGCCACCTAATGATTTAAGGAGCAAGAAAGCATCAAAGCAACAATTGATCACATCTATGGTCCCAGTTGGGCAAGACCAAAATTGCTTCCACGGCGTCACACCTGCGGTCCAAGGTGTGCAAGTGTGATTGCACCAGATACAACCCAACTTTAGCAATCACACAAGTCCAAATTTGATCTGGATTCAATCCGAATCACACCCAGGGCCCCCGGGACCCCGTCCGAATATACCAACAAGTTCCAAAACATATATTGGACCTACTTGAGGCCAAAAATCACATAAAACAACATCTATTCTATGAATTTCTACGAATCACAACCCAATTCGAGCGTATTGAAACTATGAACTTTTGAATTCCAAAACTAATGCTGATTCATACCAAATCAACTTCGATTGACCTTAAATTTTGCACACAAGTCATAAATGACATGACGAACCCTTTCTAACATCCGTAATATGAATCCAACCCCGATATCAATAAAGTCAACTCCTAGTCAAACTTTCCAACCTTTTAAACCTTCAACTTTCTAACTCTCGCCAATTCAAGTCGAAACGACCTACGGACTTCCAAATCAACATCTGGATACTCTCCTAATTCCAAAACCACCATACGGAATTGGAACTGTCAAAACTCTATTCCGGAGTCATCTACACAAAAGTCAAATTATGGTCAACTATTTCAACTTAAGGCTCCAACTTAGGGACTATGTGTCCCATTCACTCTGAAACTCACTGGAAACAAAAACCAAACATCCCGGCAAGTCACTTAACCACAATATAACATAGAGAAGGAAATAAATAAGGTATCGAGGCTAAAATAATCAAAACAACTAGCCGGATCGTTACAAATATCCTCATTTCAGCAACTATCAACTTCTGGACATGGGAGTTCTTAACTGGCCAATACTTTGTCCCATACAATATAGTCGGTCTAACTACAACTTTGTAGAACTTAACTTTATGTTTTAGTGGCATATTCTTATCACACAAGACACCGGAAGCTAGCCTCGATTTCATCCATCCAGCTTCGATGCGATGTGTGACATCCTCATCAATTTTTTCATTTCTTTCTATTATAGACCCAAGGTTGAAACTTCTTCTCTTGGGGTTGACTTGTGTATCAAGCCTCACATCCATGTCCACTTCCTAGGTAACGTCTCTAACCTTACACTTCAAATATTTTGTCTTGGTCCTACTTAGGAGTGTTCATAGTTCGGTTTGGATCGATTTTTCCCTAAAAGGAAACCAAATCAAGTAAGTCGGTTTTTTAAATATTAGAACCAAACCAAACCAATTAAGTCAGTTTTTATTGATTCATTTTATTTCAATTTTTGTCGATTTTTTGGTTTTATCCGTTTTTTCTTAAAGATACCAAACACATATTTCGATGACTACATTTTCAATGTCACGTTATCAAACCTATTGCTTCTTACCAAGATATATTGATGATAATTGAATCAAATGTGATGAATAAGTTAAGGACTCAATTAAAAATATACTATTTTTAACATGAAATAGATTCTTGTACTTAGCAAAAGAAAACTACAACTAGAATGTAAAGGCAAAAAACTAGATTATTATAATAGCAAAGAACTAGATTAAAAGTGCAAACGATTAGCATGTATCTTAAATTTTTTGAAATTTTGTATAAAAATTTACATATATATGGTGTAATAATAAATTTTAAATAGCTACTTTTATAGTCAGTTTGGTTCATTTTTTCGGTTATTTTTTGACTAAATTCAAAACCAAACCAAATCTATTCGATTTTTAAATTTCAAAAACAAAACCAAACAAACCAAAACAAAAATGTATCGGGTGTTTTGGTCGATTTGGTTCAATTTTTTGTTTGGTTTGATTTTTCGGGTTTTGATGAACACCCCTAGTCCTGCTCAGCTTGAAACCTTTAGACTCTAGAGTTTGTCTCTAAACCTCTAGCCTCTCTTTAACAACACATCACATCTCACCAATTAGAACTATGTCTTCTATAGATAACATATACCAAGGCACCTCTCCTTGAAGGTGTCTTGTCAATGCATCTATCGCCAAGAAAAACAAGAACGAGTTAAGGGTAGATCCTTGGTGCAACACCATCATAACCAAAAGTATTCCAAATATCCTCTTATTGTCCTCACCCGGGTCTTAGTTCCATGATACATATTCTTAATCACCGTAATGTAGGCTACATGCACACCTTTAGACTTTAAACATCTCGAAAGAACCTCTCTCGAGACTTTGTCGTATGCTTTCTCAAGCTCAATGAACACCATATGCAAATCCTTATACATATCTCCATATCGCTCTACCAATCTCCTTACAAGATGAATGACTTTCGTAGTTGAACGACCCAATATGAAACCAAATTGGTTCTCGAAAATAGAAATACTCTTTCTCACCCTCACTTGCACCACCCTCTCCCAAACTTTCATCGTATGGTTTAGTAGATTAATATCTCCATAGTTGTTGTAGTTTTGGCTATCCCCTTACTTATCAATGAGATCATCGTACTCCACCTCCGTTCTTCGGACATGTTATTCGTCCTTAGAATTTGAAACTATAAACTCTTAATTTGACTTTTGTTTCTCTTCGACAATTCAATATTTTCTTAAGTTATTAGTTTTTTTGCTAAAAGTGTTTCAAGCAAGGTTGGTGTGTGCGCCCAAATAGTTAATCTCTAACCAGCGGTGAACCGGAGATTTGATGTTTATGCATTTGTAATTCTAGTCATTTTAAGTTAATGAATTCTAAATTAACAATTTGTACACATTCAATAATTTTTTTGACATAAATATCGAATTTGGAGCAAAGTTACTGAATTCGGCCGAACCTGTATCCCAAGCTCTACCTCCGTCCCTCTGTTTCTAATGCTGTCTTAGTTTATGCTTGTTAATGAAGAATTTTTACGAAGTGGCCTTCCTAAGGATTGGTTTTTAACTTTAAACTCGTTAAGAAAAGTTGTACAAATATAAATTTGTGCCATAATTTCTCCTCTTTCTCTCATTCTCCCTTCTTCTTTTTCTTCTGCTCCTTCTTCTCATTCTTCTTCTCTTCTTCTTTCTCCTTGTTCTTCCTTAAATTGAAAGAAA